GAGACAGACATTCATTTGCTAAGAGGGACAGATAGACAGACAGACCTTCATTTTCTAAGAGACACAGACAGACAGAGAGAGAAACAGGCAGACAGAGAGAGAAACAGACAGACAGAGAGAGAAACAGACAGACAGAGAGAGAAACAGACAGACAGAGAGAGAAACAGACAGACAGACAGACAGAGAGAGAGAGACTTACCCTTTATAGGAGAGTGTTTGCGACAGTCTATCTGGGTGATCCACAGTCCCCACCTGTAGCTCAGACCTGCCTGGGAGGACACCGCGAACTCCACATACGGCTCCCCACCCCCTCCTCCACCTCCAAGTAGACTGTGGGCGTGGCAGACAGCAGGTATGGGCATAGATGCAGTGGTTCAGGCGTGGGCGTATGTGTAGTGGTATAGGCGTGCGTGGGCGTAGGTATAGAGATATAGGCGTGGGCGAACGTGCAGTGGTTCAGGCGTGAGCGTAGATACAGATGAAAACAAAAGAGAATCATATTCATTACTAATGCTCACTATAATGATATAATATAGCAGTTATAACAGCAGGGACTCGCATTAAAATATATGTAAAAACACTAATAATAATAATAATAATAATAATAATAATAATAAAATAACAAAATAATAATAATAATACCAGCATTATTGTCATTTCTCCTGTTCACGTAAAATTTCTCCCCCTCTCCCCTTCACCGCCTCCTACAGGTGTTTTATCAGTAGAGATGATATGTTGTTGGTACTTACAGTGTGTGTCGCTGTTGGTGCCACAGATGCGCTGCACACCGAGTCGCCACACCGTTCCCTGCACCGTCAAGTACTGTCGCACACACACGCCCTCCGTCGGCGCCGCCAGGTTAGTCTCCACTACGTCTATCCTTACCTTGTGTAGTGAAGGTAAGATGTAGTCATGATGCATTGTAGTAATTTAAGTAGGCTGATACACACACACACACACACACACACACACACACACACACACACACACACACGGTAGATGTTCACAGTTTAACAGTAAATTCTATCCATTTATTTATTTATCATTACCGGTAATTTACTGAAGTCGCAAGGAGATTACATTCTACCAACCAACCAACAAAAAAATAATGTAAATTAGCCAGCCAAAAGCTATTACGGAAATTAACCCATTAATGCTGCATTAATTAATTTGACCCAATCGCTGCATAATTTACCAGCGTCAACATTTCCTTCAGCAGAGGACGTTCGCCACCAGCTGAGGAGACAACCGTCGCTAACTCTCACCCAAACTGTGCGAGATGACGACATATTATACCATTTATTGAGTGTTTCTTCCAATATCTTCCCTCGGCGCTAGGCTACAGATATTCTTGTTTACTATAAAACAACCCATAATATATCATAATAATCCCTACTTGATTACATTATTTGTTTAAAAAAATTAATCATACTTAAAGCTGAATGTATCTGGCATTTGTCACCCACAGCTCGTATCTAGACCTGAGAGGGAGGCCCCAGACTGTTATCAGGACACAAGAACACTTAAAAGTTTCGTGTATTATTTCTAAGTAGATTTAACACGCCTCTAAATTTTCACCTGATGACGTAATTTATAACTGTTTTTTAGGTATTTCCAGGTCACTGTATCTTCATTAATTTTTCGTTGTTTGCGCCGTTTCTTTAGCCACATATCATCTTCCTAGCTGTTCGGGCGCTTCTCACGCCCGATAGAACTCGGGACACAGTCGTATAAGAGTCAGGCGTTCCAGCAGAGCTGTACCACCAAACGCTAACCCAAACATTAGTTGACATGTCCGTAGAATTTTTACGGTCGAAATTTACTAACCTACACACAGACAGACAGTGCCGGATTTAGACCTGTGGAGGCCCATGGGCAGCCTCTTTGTGGAGGCTCCCCTATTATAACTACCCAAGAGGATGGGGTGGCGAGTGAAGCGAGCCTAAATATCTGGGAGTTCCGGGGGGCGCTGTAAGCCCCCCTGGAAAATTTTGAAATTTGAACACTTCTTTGGAGAATTTTGAAGCCATGTGCAGTTATATTGAGGAAATTAGAACATTGAGAAATTTTAATTAACTGTATATTTATTGATAGTGTAGAATTTCAACACACACACACACTTTTGTGTGTCTGTGTAAGGGGAATTTGTACACATGAATTTTAAAGAATGAAAATAAAAATAATCCAAATGAATAAACAAATAAATAAAATATTGTAATATGTGGAGACCCCCAGATTGTGGAGGCCCCTGGGCAGCTGCCCACTTTGCCCACTCCTGAATCCGGCCCTGCAGACAGATACAAAATAAGTATACAATAATCTGTTCTATTTGTTCTTTAACCCAAAATGCAACGTGTCTTTATTTTACGTTGGCTAAATATTTCTTCCTCCAGTTATGACCGTGTAAGAGATGCGTTAGTGTATTGATAGAGTTTACCACATATATCTCATACTTATTGTTGGTGGATTAGTGTAAATTATTAAACTTTTTACACGCTTGGAGACCTTGGCTGTTGAAGTACAGTAATAACATCAGAGAAGGGTTTTAATTATTTGCTTACGGTAGATATACGTAATAAGATTTTATAGTTTATCAGAAAGCTTTTGTCAGTCTACAGAAAAAGTTATGACATCGTTAGTATAGTTTTCTATATACATCAGTGCACTACTTAACTATAGCGTATTACATAATTTTGTAGCCACTAAATTTGAAAAGAAAGACGAGTGTACACAAAGCGAGGTATAGCCGTCCATTAAACCGTACCTAGAGGCTAGGCTTGGTTGGGCTTCCTGAATACTGTACTGCTCGTGGATTGGCTACTCCCACCCCTCCCTCCCTCCCTAATTCCACCCCCACCCCTACACTCTTCTCAACCCTTCTCATCAGTAAAGAAAGTTCCACTCCTCATTCCCTCAACGCCCGAGACTTCAAGATGAGGGAACTCTAGCGATAATCACATCAGGCGATGCGGGATTATTGACGAGGTGTGTGTGTGTGGGATTTTCCAACGGCGCTTCTTGGTCGTAAGATAATAAAATCCCTAATCTAAGCTAACCAAACATTACGGTATTAAGGATTCATTTAAACCCCAAAATCAACCAATGGATTTTTTAGTTCACTAGAAAATATTTTAATAATGAGATTTTGTTCACTGGAGTATTTTTATATAGTCCATCTTGGTGAATAATTCGGAAAATATATCGAAAACACTGATTCCTTGACCTAACAACGAGTCCTGGTTTTTCTAGAGGTGTTTTCTTGTGCTCTGTGATTTGGTGCGTTAATTCTGAGTTTTATTTTGCGTGTTTGAGTTATGGCCCATTTCTCCTCCGTCAATATTAATATTTAATACCTCACAAAAGACAACCTATAAAAGACAATAAAGTTTTTTCTATCGTTAATATTAAAAAAAAATCAAATATATTTTTCATTAACTTACTGGTACATAATGGTACTAACTATATCCCTGTTAAGTGAAGACATTACAAAGCGCCGCGGACAAAGATTACATAAGTAACTGCGTTTAAGTCTACGCTCTGATATACCCGTTTTCTTTATTACTGAGTGGTAGAAAACGTTGTGTGGTTCTGATGTTTGAGGGGAGACTAATGTAGAGATTTGTGTTACGGTGCTCTTATGTTAGGGAATATAGTTGTCTCTCTCTCTCTCTCTCTCTCTCTCTCTCTCTCTCTCTCTCACCCCAACACAAACAAACACCCACACACACACACACACACACCTACCCCACACACCATCCCCCACCCCCCTAACACCTCCCCCACCAACACCCCCACACACCTCCCCACCAACCCCCCGCCATCCACACACCTCCGCCCACCAACACCCCTCCCCCACCCACACCTCTCCCCACCCACACACCTCTCCCACACACCCACCCACCCACACACCTCCCCACCAACACCCCCATCCACACACCTCCGCCCACCCCACTCCCCCACCCACACACCTCCCCACCCACACACCTCCCCACCAACACCCTCCCCACCCACACACCTCCCCACCAACACCCCTCACACACTCCTCCCCACCAACCCCCATCCACACACCTCCGCCCACCAACACCTCCCCCCACCCACACACCTCCCCACCCACACACCTCCCCCACACACCTCCGCCCACCAACACCCTCCCCACCCACACACACCTCCCCCACCCACACACCTCCCCCACACACCTCCTCCCCACCCACACACCTCCCCACCCACACACCTCCCCACCCACACACCCTCCCCCACACACCTCCGCCCACCAACACCCTCCCCCACCCACACACCTCCCCCACCCACACACCTCCCCCACACACCTCCTCCCACCCACACACCTCTCCCTCCCACCCAACACCTCCGCCCACCAACACCCCCACCCACACACACCTCCCCACCCACACACCTCCCCCACACACCTCCGCCCACCAACACCCTCCCCCACCCACACACTCCCCACCCCACACCTCCCCACCCACACACCTCCCCCACACACCTCCTCCCACCCACACACCTCCCCCACCCACACACCTCCCCACACACCTCCCCACCCACACACCTCCCCACACCCACACCACCTCCCCCACCCAACACCTCCCCCACACACCTCCGCCCACCAACACCCTCCCCCCACCCACACACCTCCCCCACCCACACCTCCCCACCCACACCTCCCCCACACACCTCCTCCTCCCACCCACACACCCTCCCCACCCACACACCTCCCCACACACCTCCTCCCACCCACACCTCCCACCCACACACCTCCCCACCCACACACCTCCCCCACACACCTCCTCCCACCCACACACACCTCCCCACCCACCTCCCCCACACACCTCCTCCCACACCTCCCCACCCACACACCTCCCACACACCTCCCCCACCCACACACCTCTCCCACACACTCCCCACCCACACACCTCCCCCCACCCACACCACCTCCCACACTGTAAGAAACAAATCCAAATAATAAACTCCAGTACTCCACCTACCTGACAGACTCGGGGTCGTATGTCCAGCCTAAACATACAGATGCCAGCTGTTGTGTCCCGGTAAGGGTAGGAAGGGTTCACGAAGTTGGACATCAAGCTGTTACCTCTCTCGTTACACCGGTACACTGGTGACATACATACAGACAGGGTACAGTGGCGGTTACACGGTGGTTAGTTTACAGGAGGATATAGTATGGTACAGCGGTGGTTACAGTGTGGTACGGTGGTTAGTTACAGTAGGGTGTATAGTGTGGGTACAGTGGTTATAGTGGGGTCAGTGTTTAGTTACAGTAGGATGTATAGTGTGGGTACAGTGGTTATAGTGGGGTACAGTGTTTAGTTACAGTAGGGTGTATAGTGTGGGTACAGTGGTTATAGTGGGGTACAGTTTTTAGTTACAGTAGGGTGTATAGTGTGGGTACAGTATATAGTGGGGTACAGTGGTTGGTTACAGTAAAGTGTATAGTGTGGGTGCAGTGGTTATTACAGTAGGTGTATAGTGTGGGGTACAGTGGTTATAGTGTGGTACAGTGGTTAGTTACAGTAGGGTATATAATGTGGGTACAGTGGTTATAGTGTGTGGGTACAGTGGTTAGTTACAGTAGGGTGTATAGTGTGGGTACAGTGGTTATAGTGTGGTACAGTGGTTAGTTACACGGTATAGTGTGGGTACAGTGGTTATAGTGTGAGTACAGTGGTTAGTTACAGTAGGGTGTATAGTGTGGGTACAGTGGTTATAGTGTGGTACAGTGGTTGGTTACAGTAAAGTGTATAGTGTGGGTGCAGTGGTTAGTTACAGTAGGGTGTATAGTGTGTGGGTACAGTGGTTATAGTGTGGTACAGTGTTAGTTACAGTAGGGTGTATAATGTGGGTACAGTGGTTATAGTGGCAGTGGTTAGTTACAGTAGGGTGTATAGTGTGGGTACAGTGGTTAGTTACAGTCGGCTGTATAGTGTGGGTACAGTGTTTAGTTACAGTAGGGTGTATAGTGTGGGTACAGTGGTTATAGTGTGAGTACAGTGGTTAGTTACAGTAGGGTGTATAGTGTGGGTACAGTGGTTATAGTGTGGTACAGTGGTTGGTTACAGTAAAGTGTATAGTGTGGGTGCAGTGGTTAGTTACAGTAGGGTGTATAGTGTGGGTACAGTGGTTATAGTGTGGGTACAGTGGTTAGTTACAGTAGGGTGTATAATGTGGGTACAGTGGTTATAGTGGGGTACAGTGGTTAGTTACAGTAGGGTGTATAGTGTGGGTACAGTGTTTAGTTACAGTCGGCTGTATAGTGTGGGTACAGTGGTTGGTTACAGTAGGGTGTATAGTGTGGGTACAGTGGTTATAGTGGGTACAGTGGTTAGCTACAGTAGGGTGTATAGTGTGGGTACAGTGGTTAGTTACAGTAGGGTACAGTGTGGGTACAGTGGTTATAGTGGGTACAGTGGTTAGTTACAGTAGGGCGTATAGTGTAGGTACAGTGGTTATAGTGGGTACAGTGGTTAGTTACAGTAGGGTGTATAGTGTGGGTACAGTCGTTATAGTGGGGTACAGTGTTTAGTTACAGTAGGATGTATAGTGTGGGTACAGTGGTTATAGTGGGGTACAGTGGTTAGTTACAGTAGGGTGTACAGTGGTACAGTGGTTAGTTACAGTAGGGGTGTATAGTGTGGGTACAGTGTTATAGTGGGGGTACAGTGGTTAGTTACAGTAGGGTGTATAGTGTGGGTACAGTGGTTAGTTACAGTAGGGTGTATAGTGTGGGTACAGTGGTTATAGTTGGGTACAGTGGTTAGTTACAGTAGGGTGTACAGTGTGGGTACAGTGGTTAGTTACAGTAGGGTGTATAGTGTGGGTACAGTGGTTATAGTGGGGTACAGTGTTTAGTTACAGTAGGATGTATAGTGTGGGTACAGTGGTTATAGTGGGGTACAGTGGTTAGTTACAGTAGGGTGTATAGTGTGGGTACAGTGGTTATAGTGGGTACAGTAGTTAGTTACAGTAGGGTGTATAGAGTGGGTACAGTGGTATAATGGGGTACAGTGGTTGGTTACAATAGGTGTATAGTGTGGGTACAGTGGTTATGGTGGGGTTACAGTGGTAGTTACAGTAGGGTGTATAGTGTGGGTACAGTGGTTAGTTACAGTAGGGTGTATAGTGTGGTACAGTGGTTAGTTACAGTAGGGTGTATAGTGGGGTACAGTGGTAAGAGAGAGAGAGAGAGAGAGAGAGAGAGAGAGAGAGAGAGAGAGAGAGAGAGAGAGAGAGAGAGGAGAGAGAGGAAAGTTCGTTATATCGAGGTTTCACTATAGTTAAGGGAGAGAGATAAAACAAACTCATTTCACTTAATATTGATAAACATTTCTCTCCCTCTCCCTCCTTCCTCCTCCCCCTCCTTCTCACTCCCCACCCTCAGTTCTCCCTCTCTCCCCCCCTCCTCTCCACCTCCCCCCCAGCCACTGATGGTCACCTGTATAAACCTCTCTCCTCTAGGCAGGTAAATAAGCCCACTAATAAGGTCTTCAATGGCTCCAATACCTGTGCTCCTCCTCCTCCTCCTACTCCTCCTCCTCTTCCTCCTCTTCCTCAATCTCGTACAGGTGCTTCAACTTCCTATAGTGTGGAAGGTCGTATCCTATGGCCTAAGAATAGTGTGTAAGGTCATATCCTATAGTGTGGAAGGTCGTATCCTATGGCCTAAGAGTAGTATGGAAGGTTGTATCCTATAGTGTGGAAGGTCGTATCCTATGACCTAAGATTAGTATGGAAGGTCGTATCCTATAGTGTGGAAGGTCGTATCCTATGACCTAAGATTAGTATGGAAGGTCGTATCCTATAGTGTGGAAGGTCGTATCCTATGACCTAAGATTAGTATGGAAGGTCGTATCCTATAGTGTGGAAGGTCGTATCCTTGCGGCCCAAGAGGGTGCAAGGTCGTATCTCATAGTGTTGAAAGGTCGTATCCTATGGCCTAAGAGAGGGCGGAAGGGGTCGTATCCTATGGCTCAAAAGAGTAGTGTGTAAGGTCGTATCCTATAGTGTGGAAGGTCGTATCCTATGGCCTAAGAGTAGTGTGTAAGGTCGTATCCTATAGTGTGAAGGCTGCATCCTATGGCCCAAGAGTAGTGTGTAGGTCGTATCCTATAGTGTCGAAGGTTGTATCATATATCTATGAGGTGTGTAAGGTCGTATCCATAGTGTTTGAAGGTCGTATCCCATGGCCCAAGAGTAGTGTAAGGTCGTGTCCTATAGTGTCGAAGGTCGTATCCTATGGCCTAAGAGTAGTATGGAAGGTCGTATCCCAGTGGACTAAGAGTAGTGTGTGTAAGGTCGTATCCAGTGTGTAAGGTCGTATCCTATAGTGTTGAAGGTCGTATCCTGCGGCCTCAAGAGTAGTGTGTAAGGTCGTATCCTATAGTGTTGAAGGACGTATCCTATGGCCTAAGAGTAGTATGGAAGGTCGTATCCTATAGTGTGGAAGGACGTATCCTATGGCCTAAGAGTAGTATGGAAGGTTGTATCCTATAGTGTGGAAGGTCGTATCCTATGACCTAAGATTAGTATGGAAGGTCGTATCCTATAGTGTGGAAGGTCGTATCCTATGGCCTAAGAGTAGTGTGTAAGGTCGTATCCTATAGTGTGGAAGGTCGTATCCTATGACCTAAGATTAGTATGGAAGGTCGTATCCTATAGTGTGGAAGGTCGTATCCTATTAGTGGAAGGTCGTCTCCTGCGGCCCAAGAGTAGTATGGAAGGTCGACTTATAGTGTGGAAGGTCATATCCATAGTGGAAGGTCGTTCTATGGCCTAAGAGTAGGCGGAAGGGGTCGATCCTGTAGTGTTTGAAGGTCGTATCCGCGGCTCAAGAGTAGTGCTAAGTTTGCATCCTATGGCCTAAGAGCAGTATGGAAGGTCGTATCCCCAGGACTAAGATAGTGTAAGGTTGTATCCTATAGTGGAAGGTCATATCCTATAGTGTGGGAAGGTCGTTCCTCATGGCTTCAAGAGTAGTATGGAAGGTCGTATCCTAGAAAGCCGAAGGTCGTATCCCATGGCCTAAGAGAGTAGTGCTTTAAGTTCGTATCCCATGGCCCAAGAGTAGTATGGAAGGTCATCCATGGACTAAGAGAGTAGTGTAAGGTTGTATCCCATAGTGTGGAAGGTCGTATCCTAGTGCGGAAGGTCGTTCCTTGGCGGCCGGAAGAGTAGTGTATGGAAGGTCGTATCCTATAGTGTCGAAGGTCGTATCCTAAGCGGCCTAAGAGTAGTGCTTAAGTTCGTATCCTATGGCCTAAGAGTAGTATGGAAGGTCGTATCCCATGGACTAAGAGTAGTGTAAGGTTGTATCCCATAGTGTGGAAGGTCATATCCTCATAGTGTGGAAGGTCGTCTCCTGCGGCCTAAGAGTATATGGAAGGTCATCCTATAGTGTCGAAGGTCGTATCCTATGGCTCAAGAGTAGTATGGAAGGTCGTATCCTATGGACTAAGAGTAGTGTGTAAGGTTGTATCCTATAGTGTGGAAGGTCGTATCCTATAGTGTGAAGGTCGTATCCTATGGTCTAGGTAGTGTGGTCGTCAATGCTTCTGTATAATGGCGCGACGGCTGATGATGACACACACACACACACACACACACACACACACACACACACACACACACACACACACACACCAACTCCTAACCTTGAATCTTACTGGGAATTGATTATTGAGCTTTTGGATTAGGTAAAGTTTTGATTGGATGGATTAGTAATGAGTAACCCCCCTTCCCCTCTGTCCCCCCTTCTCATCTCCCTTTCCTTCCCTGACTTTACCTCCTCCTCCTTCCCACCCCACCTCCTCTTCCCTCCCCACCCCTCTTCCTCCCCTTCCTTCCTTCTTTCCTCCCTTCTCCTCTCCTCTTCCTTCCTCCTTTCTCCCTTCTCCTCTTCCTCCCTCCTCCCTCGTCTCTCCTTCTTCCCTTCCTCCTCCCCCTTCCTTCTCCTCCTTCCTTCTTTTCCTCCCTTCCCTTCTCTCTCCTCCCCAAGGATCGAACCAATTTGACCTCAGGACTAGAGTTTGAGCGGATATGTTACACAGGAGCCAATAAATGTATAAATAAATAAATAAATACTAAATTACATCAAACCATACCTTTTTTCAGTCAAGTTTGCTTACATCTGCCAAGGAGGAACAGGGGGTGGGAGAGAACAGGGGTAGGGAGGGAACAGGGGTGGGAGGAACAGGGTGGGAGAGAACAGGGGTGGGGAGAATGGAGAGGGGAGGGAACAGGGGGTAGGGAGGGAACAGGGGGTAGGGAGGGAACAGGGGGTAGGGAGGGAACAGGGGGTAGGGAGGGAACAGGGGGTAGGGAGGGAACAGGGGGTGGGGAGAAAGGGAGAAGGTCGGTAGGGAAATATCCTGTACACATGAAGGAGTTGGTTGTATAATCTGTTGATTTTTTCCCCTACGAGAGACTGACATGTTACCCTTTAACAATCAGCGAGAGAGAGTGTGTGTGTGTGTGTGTGTGTGTGTGTGTGTGTGTGTGTGTGTGTGTGTGGTGAAGAGAGAGTGTGTTTGTGTGTGTGTGTGTGTGTGTAGAAGAGGGGAGTGGGGGGGTGTGTGTGGTGAAGAGAGAGTGTGTGGGGAAGAGAGAGAGAGAGAGGTGTGTGTGTGTGTGTGTGTGTGTGTGTGTGTGTGTGTGTGTGTGTGTGTGGGTGAAGAGAGGGAGTGAGGTGTGTGTGTGGTGAAGAGAGAGAGTGTGTGTGTGTGTGTGTGTGTGTGTGTGTGTGGTGAAGAGAGAGTGTGTGTGGTGAAGAGAGAGAGGTGTGTGTGTGTGTGTGTGTGTGTGTGTGTGTGTGTGTGTGTGTGTGTGTGTGTGTGTGTGTGTGTGTGTGTGAGTGTGTGTGTGGGGGAGAGAGAGAGTGTGTGTGTGTGTGTGTGTGTGTGTGTGAAGAGAGAGAGAGTGTGTGTGTGTGTGTGTGTGTGTGTGTGTGTGTGTGGTGAAGAGAGAGAAAAAGTAAAAGAGTGAGAGAGAGAGAGAGACAGAGATATAATATAATCCAGGGGTTCACCAGTTAGGTTAGGTTAGGTTAGGTGACGTCACTACTAACCTTCAGGATCCAGCAGGTTGTCAGAGGTCTCGTGTAGGTCATCGTCAGCGCCTTCTCCACTGCAAGGTTAGGTTAGGTTAGTTTAGATTAGGCTAAGTTAGGTTAGATTAGGTTAGGTTAGGTTACGTTAGATTAGATTAGGTTAGATTAGGTTAGGCTAGTTTAGATTAGGTTAGGTTAGATTAGATTAGGTTAGATTAGGTTAGATTAGGTTAGGTTAGGTTAGGTTAGGTTAGGTTAGGTTAGGTAACGTATGACTTGGTGTTTACATAAATCAACAGCAACACACAGCATCGTTTTATTGTTTACATTATTCACCACCCACCTGCCTGAGGAGTCGTTTTCGTCACCGCATCTGCATCCTTCAGTCGTATCTCCGTCAGTAGTATCTCCGTCAGTAGTATTTCCGTCAGTAATATCTCCGTTAGTAGTGTTTCCGTCAGTAGTATCTCCACAATTAGTATCTCCGTCAGTATTATCTCCTCCTCCAGTATTATCTCCTCCATTAGTATTTCCTTCAGTAGTATCTCCTCCTTCAGTAGTATCTCCTCCTTCAGTCGTATCTCCTTCAGTAGTATCTCCTCCTTCAGTAGTATCTCCTCCTTCAGTCGTATCTCCGTCAGTAGTATCTCCGTTAGTAGTGTCTCCGTCAGTAGTATTTCCGTCAGTAGTATTTCCGTCAGTAGTATCTCCACAATTAGTATCTCCGTCAGTATTATCTCCTCCATTAGTATTTCCTTCAGTAGTATCTCCTCCTTCAGTAGTATCTCCTTCAGTAGTATCTCCTCCATCAGTAGTATCTCCTTCTCCAGTAGTATCTCCTCCTCCAGTAGTATCTCCTCCTCCAGTAGTATCTCCTTCTCCAGTAGTATCGCCTCCATCAGTAGTATGTCCTCCTCCACTAGTATCTACCCCTTCACTAATGGATGGTTCTTCCCCTCCAACGCTGACACCGCCGCCAAGGAGCACCGTAGTGGCACCGTCAGGCACTCCTACGGTAGAGACGTTGACGGTGGTCAGGTTGGTGCCGTTGGCCAGCCTGATGACGAGGTTCTGGTGGGTGTGTACCTGTGAGGAGGGAGGGAGGGGGTAGCTGAGTCTCTCTCTCTGTCAGTGTCTTTTGCTTGTCTCTCTCTCTCTCTCTCTCTCTCTCTCTCTCTCTCTCTCTCTCTCTCTCTCTCTCTCTCTCTCTCACACAGACAGAACCACAGTTGACAGGTATACCGTATTAACGACAGACTGATTCTGCTGTTGCTGCTGTCCTTGTACACCCAGAAGGGGATACTGTAGCTCCATGTTGCTACTGCTGGGGAAGTAGTGGTTGTTGTAGTAAGGGTTGGCCACCAGTAGAGGCCTCCAGGACGTGGGGGTGGTGGTCGTAGGGGGGACGGTGACGTACAAGACGATAGGGTAGGTAGAAGTTTTGGGGGTCGTGGTGGTGGTGGTAGGAGGAGGGGTGGTAGTTGTGGTAGTGGTGGTAGTAGTAGGAGGGGTAGTAGTGGTGGTAGTAGGAGGAGGGGTAGTAGTTGTGGTAGTGGTAGTGGTGGTAGTAGGAGGAGGGGTTGTGGTAGTGGTAGTGGTGGTAGTAGGAGGAGGGGTAGTAGTTGTAGTAGTGGTGGTAGTAGGAGGAGGGGTAGTAGTAGTAGTAGTAGGAGGGGTAGTAGTAGTAGTGGTAGGGGTAGTAGTAGTGGTCGTAGTCTGAGTGTTTTTCTCGTAGTCAGGATACACCAGGTAGGCTACTTGACCCTGTAGGAGAAAGACACAACAATGGTTACTTATGAACTATACAGTACTGACCTACATGTGTGTGTATGTACAGTATGTATGTATGTATGTATGTATGTATGTATGTATGTATGTATGTGTGTGTGTGTGTGTGTGTGTATGTGTGTGTGTGCGTGTGTCAGCCACCACCAACTTCCTCGTTACTCACCCCTAAGTTGGCATAGTAGTCGATATCCTGATGGAGGGGGTCGTTGGCATCTCTGTGGGTGACGGGGACGCCCTGTCTCGTGTTGACCAGGTCCTGTCTCACTACACCACCCGGGCCTCCTGCTGTACTACCCTGGGGAGATGCCGTGAGGGGAGATTAGTTGTGGTATGGGGAGAGGAGGGAGCTGGGGAGTAACTGGTGATGGTAGAGTGGGGAGAAGGTTATATTGAGGGGAAAAGGTGAATAATAGAATGAATAGCAAAAATAGGATAAAGCAACACAGAGACAGATAGACAGACAGACACAGAGACAGATAGACAGACAAACACAGAGACAGATAGACAGACAGACACAGAGAGAGATAGACAGACAAACACAGAGACAGATAGACAGACAAACACAGAGACAGATAGACAGACAAACACAGAGACAGATAGACAGACAAACACAGAGACAGATAGACAGACAAACACAGAGAGAGATAGACAGACAAACACAGAGAGAGACAGACAGACAAACACAGAGAGAGACAGACAGACAAACACAGAGAGAGACAGACAGACAAACACAGAGACAGATAGACAGACAAACACAGAGAGAGACAGACAGACAAACACAGAGAGAGAGAGACAGACAAACACAGAGACAGATAGACAGACAAACACAGAGAGAGACAGACAGACAAACACAGAGAGATAGACAGACAAACACAGAGAGACAGATAGACAGACAAACACAGAGACAGATAGACAGACAAACACAGAGAGATAGACAGACAACACAGAGAGATAGACAGACAAACACAGAGACAGATAGACAGACAAACACAGAGACAGATAGACAGACAAACACAGAGACAGAGATAGACAGACAAACACAGAGACAGATAGACAGACAAACACAGAGACAGACAGACAGACAAACACAGAGAGATAGACAGACAAACACAGAGACAGATAGACAGACAAACACAGAGACAGATAGACAGACAAACACAGAGACAGATAGACAGACAAACACAGAGAGATAGACACAGACAGACACAGAGAGAGATAGACAGACAAACATACAGAGACAGATAGACAGACAGACACAGAGAGAGATAGACAGACAAACACAGAGAGATACAGACAGACAAACACAGAGACAGATAGACAGACAAACACAGAGAGAGACAGACAGACAGACAAACACAGAGAGAGATAGACAGACAAACACAGAGAGATAGACAGACAAACACAGAGAGAGATAGACAGACAAACACAGAGACAGATAGACAGACAAACACAGAGAGATAGACAGACAAACACAGAGACAGATAGACAGACAAAACACAGAGACAGATAGACAGACAAACACAGAGACAGATAGACAGACAAACACAGAGAGATAGACAGACAAACACAGAGAGATAGACAGACAAACACAGAGAGATAGACAGAAATGACAGAGACAGATAGACAGACAAACACAGAGAGAGACAGACAGACAAACACAGAGACAGATAGATGACAAACACACACAGACAGATAGACAGACAAACACAGAGAGATAGACACAAACACAGAGAGATAGACAGACAAACACAGAGAGAGACAGACAGACAAACACAGAGACAGATAGACAGACAAACACACAGACAGATAGACACAGACAAACACAGAGAGATAGACAGACAAACACAGAGACAGATAGACAGACAAACACAGAGACAGATAGACAGACAAACACAGAGACAGATAGACAGACAAACACAGAGACAGATAGACAGACAAACACAGAGAGATAGACAGACAAACACAGAGACACAGATAGGACAGACAAACACACAGAGACAGATAGACAGACAAACACAGAGACAGATAGACAGACAAACACAGAGAGATAGACAGACACAAACACAGAGAGATAGACAGACAAACACAGAGAGAGATAGATGACAAACACAGAGACAGATAGACAGACAAAACACAGAGACAGATAGACAGACAACACAGAGACAGATAGACAGACAAACACAGAGATAGACACAGACAAACACAGAGACAGATAGACAGACAAACACAGAGACAGATAGACAGACAAACACAGAGAGAGTATTGCATAGACAAACACAGAGACAGATAGACAGACAAACACACAGACAGATAGACAGACAAACACAGAGAGATAGACAGAGACAAACACAGAGAGATAGACAGACAAACACAGAGAGAGACAGACAGACAAACACAGAGACAGATAGACAGACAAACACACAGACAGATAGACAGACAAACACAGAGATAGACAGACAAACACAGACAGATAGACAGACAAACACAGAGACAGATAGACAGACAAACACAGAGACAGATAGACAGACAAACACAGAGACAGATAGACAGACAAACACAGAGATAGACAGACAAACACAGAGACAGATATAGACAGACAAACACAGAGACAGATAGACAGAAACACAGAGACAGATAGACAGACAAACACAGAGAGATAGAGACAAACACAGAGAGATAGACAGACAAACACAGAGAGAGATAGACAGACAAACACAGAGACAGATAGACAGACAAACACAGAGACAGATAGACAGACAAACACAGAGACAGATAGACAGACAAACACAGAGAGATAGACAGACAAACACAGAGAGATAGACAGACAAACACAGAGAGAGACAGACAGACAGACGTAAAACACAGAGACAGATAGACAGACAAAACACAGAGAGAGATAGACATGCAAACACAGAGATAGACAGACAAACACGGAGACAGATAGACAGACAAACACAGAGACAGATAGACAGACAAATACAGAGACAGATAGACAGACAAACACAGAGAGATAGACAGACACAAAACACAGAGAGATAGACAGACAAACACAGAGAGATAGACAGACAAACACAGAGAGAGATAGACAGACAAACACAGAGACAGATAGACAGACAAACACAGAGACAGATAGACAGACAAACACAGAGAGATAGACAGACAAAACACAGAGATAGACAGACAAAACACAGAGAGAGATAGACAGACAAACACAGAGAGAGATAGACAGACAAACACAGAGAGATAGACAGACAAAACACAGAGAGATAGACAGACAAACACAGAGAGAGATAGACAGACAAACACAGAGACAGATAGACAGACAAACACAGAGATAGACAGACAAACACAGAGAGAGATAGACAGACAAACACAGAGAGAGATAGACAGACAAACACAGAGACAGAGGACAGACAAACACAGAGAGATAGACAGACAAACACAGAGACAGATAGACAGACAAACACAGAGAGATAGACAGACAAACACAGAGACAGATAGATGGCACAAACACAGAGAGAGATAGACAGACAAACACAGAGAGATAGACAGACAAACACAGAGAGAGATAGACAGACAAACACAGAGAGATAGACAGACAAACACACAGAGAGACAGACAGACAAACACAGAGAGAGACAGACAGACAAAACACAGAGAGAGACAGACAGACAAACACAGAGAGAGACAGACAGACAAACACAGAGAGAGACAGATAGACAAACACAGAGAGAGACAGGACAGACAAACACAGAGAGAGATAGACAGACAAACACAGAGAGAAAGATAGGACAGACAAACACAGAGAGAGAGATAGACAGACAGACAAACACAGAGACAGATAGACAGACAAACACAGAGACAGATAGACAGACAAACACAGAGAGAGACAGATAGACAGACAAACACAGAGACAGATAGACAGACAAACACAGAGAGAGACAGGACAGACAAACACAGAGAGATAGGACAGACAGACAAACACAGAGACAGATAGACAGACAAACACAGAGACAGATAGACAGACAAACACAGAGACAGATAGATAGACAGACAAACACAGAGAGACAGATAGACAGACAAACACAGAGACAGATAGACAGACAAACACAGAGAGAGACAGACAGACAAACACAGAGAGAGATAGACAGACAAACACAGAGACAGATAGACAGACAAAACACAGAGAGAGATAGACAGACAAACACAGAGAGAGACAGACAGACAAACACAGAGAGAGATAGACAGACAAACACAGAGAGAGATAGACAGGACAAACACAGAGAGAGATAGACAGACAAACACAGAGAGAGATAGACAGACAAAACACAGAGAGAGATAGGACAGACAAACACACAGAGAGACAGACAGACAAACACAGAGAGAGACAGACAGACAAACACAGAGAGAGACAGGACAGCATGTTCACAGAGGAGCATTGCATTGGTGACAAAACACAGAGAGAGACAGACAGACAAACACAGAGAGAGACAGACAGACAAACACAGAGAGAGATAGACAGACAAACACAGAGAGAGATAGACAGACAAACACAGAGAGAGATAGACAGACAGACAAACACAGAGACAGATAGACAGACAAACACAGAGACAGATAGACAGACAAACACAGAGAGAGACAGATAGACAGGACAAACACAGAGAGACAGATAGACAGACAAACACAGAGAGAGACAGACAGA